TATATATATATATATATATACATATAATTTTACAACACCTAATTACCACGCTGTATTTACAGTGACAATCACTGTTGTGCAATAATCCAAGATATTGACAAGATTCCATAACATAAGCTTTACGTCATTAATTGTAAAGCACATGAAAACTCTGTTTTAATTTGAGACTGTATTATATACTTATTTTATATCCAACAGAAAATGAAAAACTATCGGTCGGATTTGATCTTCAAAACGATCGAGATTTCACGGCAGATGCAATTGATCATGAATTCTACGCCAAAGGTTTAGCCAACGCGTTATATAGTTCTCAACTGCAGACGCCTCTCACTATTGGAATATTTGCACCGTGGGGTTCTGGTAAAACATTCTTACTGAAAATGTTGACAAGTAAGTACAAAAGAATATTAACACACTCATTCAATTTTTTTTTCCAGTATAAATTCATTGTTTATTAACTAAATGGAATAATAAACAAATATACTTGCGTGCATCATGTTTTCAAAGCTGCAGTAGCTTGAGGCATTATTACATGTCGACATATGCATTAATCCACTGCTATGAAACTTGTATGCTAACGACGTACACACAAGATTTTTAAAATAATACATTTTATATTACATAAATAAAATTCACGTATTTAATATGTGTATATTTGTGCAGTGTGTAATAACACAATATTAAAATAATTCTTTCATCTTCAGATCGTCTACAGAAAATGAACGAAGAATATCAAAAACGATCAGTCCAGAAAGACACCTTCTGGAGTAGCTTGATCTTATTTTTACGTATAATATGTTATTACCCTCCATGCCCGATATTGTTTGATAAAACAGACATAGTTGACTTTGTCTACGTGGATTTCAAAGCTTGGGAGTATGCTGGAAGCGATAACCTGTGGGCAGGAATCGTCACGAAATTAGTATCCAGTGTAGAATTCCATGCTGGATACTGGAAAACACGATTTTTTCGGATCATTATTAAACCTTCGGAAATTTCAACAGAAGCTAAAAGGGAAAAAGACCAGGAGCCACTCAAAATGCGAAAGACCCAATTTTTCAGGTATATTTGGATTCCCGATTTTGTTTTATTGGCCATGTTATTAATTGTATTAATTGTGGTTACAGTATTTACTATAATTATTGGCAGTGAGACCATACCTTTTCAAGACCGCTCAAACTCTACCATTAGTGATGAAAAAGACAGGAGAATCTGGGACTTTATTATTGGTATATACGCTGTTTTTTCCAGTGTTTTGGGTGGGGTGATACTAGCCAATCCTAATCAAGGATGGACTGCAATCACCACATTTGCATTTTCTCAATCAGATAAGATTGAATATATGGTGAATAGGCCAGATGAGTCCTCTAGGCTAAGCTTCATGGCAGACATTAAGCAAGAAGTGAAGGTTGCTACTGGTATTATAAATTGGATGTCCTACAATAAAAAACGACCAATACGAATTGTCATCACAGTGGACGATTTAGATCGATGTTCGAAACAGAAAGCTGTACAGCTAATTGAAGCACTAAATATATTACTTTCAGATGACTTTGCGCCATTCATATGCATCATTGCAGTTGACCAGAGGTTTATTGTTGAAGCAATAGAAGAAAGCCCAGACAAGTTGTTGACAAATGCTTACATGACCGGACACGCCTATCTCAAAAAACTGTTTCAACTACAGTTCTGCATGCCAACTATGACAAACAAAATGAAACAAAATTTCCTTCAGAAGATAGAAGAAGATGCCTCTACACGAGCTGTTGAGCCTCGTCACAAATCCAAAGCATCAACTCAACCAACAAGGAAAGAGTGCACATGGACAACATTAGTAAGTAGCCAAGTGAAAGATAGTGGCGGTAACAAACTTTCTAAAAATAAAAACACACAACATTGTTCTCAAGAAGAAGAGGATGCATATATGAAGGAGTTAATGTCAGTGTTTAAAACCAAGGAAATGTTAGATTATGTGTTTGGTAACCCTAGAAACATCAAGAGGCTCTTCAATCAACTTTGCATAACAGCAAATTTGGTGAAAATATCCGGTGGTCCGAAGTTTCTTCCAAGAGAGATGGTGATGTGGACTATTTTGGTAGATCAGTGGCCATACAGATCAATTTACATGATTCATCACATTGAAGATAATTTACAAAAACAGGAGCTTGGGATGACCTTTGAGGATTCAAGTATGAAATTAAAACCATCAACACCTTTGAAAGATATTTACAGGAATTCGGTGAAGAAGAGGCTCAAGAGAGATGAACTCGACTGGAAGATGTTGATTACTCTTGATGGAGATCCAGAATTGTTCCAGCGTGTTCTGGACACAGAGATGAGAGGGTTTAACGTTGCTGACGTGCAGCGGATCATCCCTTACTCAGTACACCTGAACAGGTCTATTGGTTTCTCTATCGCCCATGCAGAAGCTATCGCAGACATTGAATAAGTCTGTGCTAAGGTTACTAGTTAACTGAAATTTACTGAATTATGCTGACTGACGTATTGTTTATATAAATTAGCTTAAATGTCATTAAAATTGTTATGGACAAACAGTTCACAGCGGGAGAAGTATCTAGTGGTTTATTTGTCATCAACAAATGTGGAATGGAAGAAAGAACCACTTGTATTTAGCAATCGGTCAGTTAGTAACGGATTGATTTCAAATCGTGAGGATATTATCGTCTTCATCAACAACCACAGTATACACTCAGATTGTTGGTTATTTTGAATACCATTGTATTATAAGTGTTCCTGATACACATTGTTGGTGTTTCACCACAAAGTGCAGTGAGTAAATTGATGCATAAACTGGCATTGGTGGTAATCAACATCATATTTTAGAATTGCAGTGAATGGTAATTTTAAGAAACTGTTCTATATGATACTATACCATTGACCATATTTGCATTATATTATTGAACATCAAAACACTCTGGCCTTTTGAATTTGTTGTACTTGCACCATTACCAGTGCGTTATCCAGTACAATATCAAAACACAAAAATCCTGACTTTTTAGAGGTCGCCACTCTCATTATATCATCTCAGAAAATACACAATCAGTTACAATGCTTGGGCTCGAACTCGCAACTACAATTTTAAAGGCACAAAGCTTATCCTGTAGTCTACCAGGCATTTCGGACCGTGTCATTTTCACAGTGTAGTAATAAATATTCATAAGCTGAATATGCACCTGTAATAACCTAATATGTAAATGTATGTGAACAAACAAAACATGTGAAAACATTAGTACCCACACAATCATTCTAACGTGGCTGGTCAGTACAAACACCAGCTGCGGTTGGCGAGGGGATGCGTTCATAACCTTGTTTGCCCGATTCGTTTCCACGTGAAAAGATGATAAACCAGAGACAAATATAACAAAAATATTAAAGTATAGTTGACCCTGGTTGACGTGTTGTAAGCCTAATAATTTACTCGTGGTCGTGCAATTGTCCAGATATTGCATCTTCGGATCGCCTGGAAACGCGTAAATACTCACGCACTTGCTATACGTATTGATGCACCCGCCAGCAACACGACGTTTAACCATCGTCAATATGTTCGTTGTGAAAACAACTTTTACTAAAACTTTTCAAAAATGCGCCTCCCAAAAATATATATATCGTTAATAGTATTGTTAAATGACGCAATATTAGAAAAGTATGGCTCAAGAATATGGCTTCTTTCTCATGTTTTAACATTTGGTGGCGCACTTCCACTTCCGCGAGTGTCGGTGAGCGTGGCTACAACACGAGAAATATCTCAAATTTACTCGGATACGAGTAATATTTTTCAACAATAAAATCAATAATGGCTCATTACCGTGGAACACAAATCCAAAGCGGAAATGTGTTGGTGGGCATTTCACAATCACTTTAATATCAATTAATTCAAATAATGGACGTCTTCTATCGAGAGAATATTTTAATCATGACTGACTTATTGCCTGTATTAAAATAATGAAGCATCCCTTTACATTCGAATGATACGTACACAAAGGAAAAACATTGGATGTTGAGAAATCGAAAAAATGTTTTTAAACATTCTATCATTTTTGAAACCATATCCCTTAGTATGTTTGAAATGGTCAGTAATATGTATTATGGTGAATTGTAAATATTTGATTTAGTCCAAAAATCCTATTATGTATCCATGATCATAAGCCACACCCAAAATAAAAGAATGTATATGTTAATGTGTTCAGCTATTTATTTGTATGTACTCGGGCTACGATACATTGAAACAAAAGTTCAACAATATATTTGTTTAAAATAAGCGACAAATACGTTATATATAATTTTATCAGAGACAAATAATAATGTGTACTCCGATCTATTTTAACATCAAATTAGAAAAAAAATGAATATTCATTAGGTCTAATAAAACTAGTCGATTGAATTAAAGAAATTCTAAGGCTGTATCAACTCCAAGAGACTATAATTTGTTTCATTGGGATATCAAATATGAATTATAAAAATCAGATAAGTTTTAACATATAATTAGGATTATACGCATTATATGGATTATTGCAGCTAAATATTCTTGATACGTCTTTGCAAAGCGTAAGTACCTGCATCATACTCTAGCGGTCTGTGTGGCGATATAGCACTCTTTCCTACAGTGGCATGACGCTTTCCAGGACCAAGAGTTTTTCTCCTCTATTGTATAGTGTGATTTATGTGTGTTTGAGTGTTTGCAATTATGTTATCGTGGTGTGTAAAGCTCAAACACTTAAATAGAACTGTTCAGAACATCCTTAAATTCGAACTGTCGGTAAGGTCGATATTTCAACAGAATTAAGTGCAAGTTCCTTGTTTCTCTGCGATATCATGCTACGAGCAGTTTGCTCATTCGATATCGCTTGTAACAGCGAGCGATTTAGATTCACTGTAATTGGTAAAATATTGTAGTAGTCTTCGACATCAAAGTTCTTCATTTCCTGACCTATAAACCTCAGAAACAACTGCGAATTGGCATCAAAACTCATCATGTTTTCCCATCCATTGATGGCCATCATTTTGCGACGAACTCGAGGAAAGACATCCTTAAATCTAGTCTCGACCTGGATCTCCATGCTCACTGGTAGTTTCATTTGTTGCCTGAGGCGGGTATGTTCGATCAACCAAATGATGTGATGACTGCGATAGGGCCAGAGATCGAGAAATGCTGTCCAGGCGACTACAACGTGGGGTCTGAATATGGGACCTCCGTTTAGTTTTACTAACTCTGCAACAAAACACAGAAGGTTGCCGATGCGAGTAATAGTGTTCATGCTACTGCCGAGATAGTGAAGGATGCTTTCATCTTGAAGATATGTCAGCAGGGAATCTTTGTATGTGGGCTTAGCCATCACCATTGGCAAGATGCACTGACAATACTTCTTCCTGTTCAATTTCTTTTTGAACAAAGACTGGGGTATTCTTGAATGCGTAGAAGCATCAATGACTTGTTGCTTCGATGCTATATCAAGCTCCGGAACAAATACCGAAGATTTGAGGATTGTCTTTAAGGACATGGCTTTTTCGAACAGTCGGGCACAATTACTGTCTCTCGAGTTTTGGGCATAACCCAATATCATGCTATCAGTCACAGACACGGACGAGTTCACTCCTAAAAGCATTATGAATGGGCTACTCTTACATTCTATCAGATCATGCAGGGTAAGTAACGTGGTGGCAAGGTCACCGTCCGATCCTGTGTTACCAAGATTATCAACAGTTATCAAAACTCGTATCTCTCTTTTTATACTTGATGCAATCCAGTTAATCAACATGATACCCAATGCAAGCTCCTCCTTCATCTTAGCAAACAAATGTGCGCTCTTGTCTTCGGGTGACTTTCTGTAGAATCTAACTAGCCATTCTCTCTGTGAAAACATCAAAATTACGAATAGACTTCTCAAATCTCTGAAGATAATCGGCATCTTCACTATCGTGATTATTATCATCACCAACAAAATCGTGGCCATAATAGCGCTCCAATAAACTGGCCAATTCAGGACAGCAAAACCCAGAGAAGTCAGGACAGAAGAGGCTGTGATGAACGCGAAAAGAAAACTATACAAACAAGCTTTCCAGCGAAGTCGAGTATCATTTACTAATAGTTGAGATTCTTGCAAAAGCTGTTCACGAGAATATATCTTTTCTGATATTTCCTTTTTGTCATTCATCAGTCGAAATGTTCTTGTTAACGCAGTCCCAGCATACTCTCTGACGGCATCGAGCAGCGCTCCGACAAGCCCCATCGCAACACTCTCGGTGTCAGTGCATTGGGAACTATCATAATGACATTGTATTAGGTTGCTACCTGTCACCATAATACTAGTTTTGCTGGTTTTGGTTGGTAAGGCATGCTCGTAAACCAACATTGACATAATGAGCCCCACTTTATCCAGTGATGTGAGTCCGTGACGTTCGTTGGATTCGTGATACTCTTGGAGATGGTGCATAATATCTACAAAGAACAATGAACTCCGGGTAATGTAAATCACTTTCCCACCACCAAGTTGGAATGTTTCAATTTTTTCAACGACCAGAAAGTACAGATTTATACTTATTGAATTGCTTGGAGTATTATGTGCCAACTAAATGTATCAATTGTAAAGCATAGTACACATGTATAGTTAGTAGTTTTTCAATAATTGTTCTCAAATTGTCGCCAACGTGATCTATCCAGAAATGGTCACATGACATCGCGGAAAATGTGAGTTCACGAGTCTTCGGTTATCATTTATTTATTTTTTTAAGATACCACATATTCTTTAGGAATAGCGAGAATTGTTGCGATAATGTGTTGTGGCTGGCCATGTACAGGTGTACTTCGTTGCAAATTAAATTGCGCGGAACTGCCATAGTTCCAAATTGAATCATGTTCACTCTATATAACGAGGTTGAATGATTCAGATGCACAAACACAAAATACAACGCTTACCTTGTGTCATATTTAATAGAGCTGTTTTCCCACTTCCTTGTGGGCCAATCACACTGACCGTCTTTGGCAGGTGCTTAATATGGAGAGAGTGCAGCATAGTTGAGATACACATGGCGGTGGAACTGAGTGAATCTTCTCCGCTGTGATTCAAGTGGTTGTGCTTGCTTCCCCTTTCAATCTGCAACTCCTGGTTGAAAGATACGCAAGTTTATAGGATGCATGTGCAATTTACAGTCGCTTGAGCAAACTAGGCACGAAACAGCAACAAATAACGACACAATATAAATAAATGTGTTGAATTAAGCTTCGAATTCAATAATGGCCGACTGGCAGTCCCGTGTGAACTTGGACGTTCGTAATGAATCGATCGATTTGATCGATTGTAACAAATTACTTTAAATTCCTCACTCACCCTTGGTAGACTGACGGTGTCGTCAAACAGTTTTACGGCAACAGTGAATGGATGATCGAAGTTGGTTTTCTCAACGAAGATTTTACCTGAAGGACTCTTTGGTACATAGTCCTTTCCCCGTCGTGGTAGCATTGCGGTCAATATGAGTTCGGATGCACCAACGTGCATTTCAAGAGGTCTAGCAGCACCTTGAATGAAACCAGGGCGATGATGAGAACACAGTATACAAAGTGTATGAGTCAGCAGGATTTGTTGTGATTCCTACTTAGAATTCAGATACGAACATTATTTCTGTCGATTGTGATTGTGTTATATTTCGAATGAAATGTCGAACGTAGCGTGAAGGTATTATGATGTAACAGCAATGATAGGATGTGGCAAGTCGTATTAGATGCATGTAATATCTGCAATAAACTATTGCTATTATATCAGTCTTGGTTAGTTACACAGAAATGTCTGAAATATAATCAAAATAAAATGTCTTTTTGTGGATTGTTTGAAACTATATTATTTGTTGTGGCATGTTTTTGATTTAATAAAAAAAAAAACATATAAATAAGTCAATCAGTAGTAGTCGTATACGAGTATTGGATGTGGAGGCGCGGCCAAACATTAAACATCCCATTTGATTGGCACCAACCTTGATGAGTGCTTGTATCACGGTGTTTGATTGGACGTTACGAATAATTATTGTGGCTCACTGGTTATCCATACATAATAACACATGAATATATCACAGACGCAGAAAAATAAAGGCTAATATTAATTTTGTCCACGTGTCTTCATTATGGTGGCAATTATACTTGCTAATTAGTATAAAGGTGTTCGTAGCCTGTCTGGTCTATGACAGCAACCTACATGTATGTAATGTGATGTGGTTTGAAAAATGCAGTGACCTTTATACTATAACAATTATACATGCACTGAGGCTTACCTCGTAATTGGTCGCTCACAGTTCTGCCGTCTTTCATCGTGGACAACAGCTGCCACTGTACCTCGCCTTCATTGGAGGTGTTTGTGATTGCTATGGAAACCAGGACGAAAGGCTTGAAATCTAACTTCCATGAAATGAACGCCGCTTCGTTTGTGTCTGCTTGTCCTAGGTATGTCTGCATATTCATGAAAACGATAATATTACAGATTCAATATGGACTTGAACATGTCATTTTTAGTATTGTTGATTGATACTGTATATAGTATGTTTTACTATGATTTATCATTAAACTGAAAACGCTGACATTGTAGACACAAATCTGAGTATTCGATCAATGAAATTATCTAATATGCATGCTTTGTTGTGTACAAGCGTACAGCTTCATAGTACAAGTAATAATCACTGCGCATGCGTATTAGTGGTTTTGTTTTGTTTTTCCTCAAACGAATTCTGTTGTGTGTCCTGTTAACATATTTAGTTCCGTCAAATTCGGTCTACAGTACAATTTAACAATTTTAAAATGTATACATATTTTCTTCGATAATGCATGGCGTAAATAATTATGCAAACCTGCAATTTATAATTATTACCGAGATAGTGTTCGAAATGGTTCCCATGAAACGTATACAACGCGTGTAATTCGAACGCGCGCGTCACATCTGTGGCACTTTAAAGCGGAGGGATCGTCACATGCGTATTCACGGGAATTGAATCATGGGTAAACGCTTGTTTGTAAACAACGACACGCTATGGCCGTTTGCCGCATGCGCAGGTGACGACTCCCCCGTTTTAATTCCCCGTGTTTGTTTCACTATACCATATCCCGTGACTCACCGTGTCACTGTCCTGCAATCTGATAATATTATTCGTTGTGAACGCTCCACGTGACCACCCGTGGATGACATCCGGGTGATCCCCGACACCTCGCGTGTACCTGTTATGTCTGGACGAATAGTGAAGGACAAACTCCTTGTTTCTCAGCTCACATGTGTTGAGTGTGAACACCGCATTGCCCTCAGCAAGAATCTGTCAATGTTAGAAGAAAATGAGCCGAACACGTCAGATAGTAAGAGGGAAAAAAAACTATTTTGTCGGGGCGGCCGTGCAGGACATTTGAAAAAATCCATACTGTCCGATTAACAAACTTGTTCGCACGGGCCCGTCCCTGTAAAACTATAGTCCACCCCTCGTGTCCAATGCACTCACTATCACAACAACCCCGACGCCGAATACGTTGATTGATTCCTTGGTCACGTTTGATGTTACTATATATAGTTGATATTATGAATACAGAAAATTTAATTATTTGTCACAGGACATAAGAATAAATATGTAAGGCGATAGAAAATGTTCTCACATATTATATTGTCAAATATAAGAGCTATATTCGCGTGTGTGTCCCATAGTACAAAAAAGCGTGTATAGAATACATTGTTTATTTCCATGAGATTCGAACACGTACATCACGACGACCATCACGTCGTGCATCATGTCTGACAGAATATACACACGTCATTACGAGGTGTCATTCATGGGTGACATGTTTGTATGTTCTATTTCGCTTATATCTGTATAAAGGATTCTGGTGAATTGCGCCATCTTTAGTGTAGACAGTAAAATAAAAACTTAACAGGTGTTTCAAGTATCACAGTATCACAGTTCGAATCGCGCCACTCTACTTGCGGATTTGCGTACCATTTGTATTTTATGTTTGAACTACAATTATATTATACCTGCATTTCAACTGCTCGAATAAGTCATTCGAGTGCATGTTTTAATTAAATTAAAAATAATTACAATTTTTAATTAATTGGTTAAATAAACGATACAGTTTACGTGTTTAGAAGTAGGCCCCAAACGGGTAAATCAGTAGGAACAAAATAAGACTCAAAAAAATTGAAAAAAACAAATTGGCAGAATTACACAAACGTCGCCCAAAAACTGGCTGCGGTCTGCATAGCTTGAACTCGGAACTCAATCGGGCGTACGAAGCAAATCGACATCTGGTTTTTTTTTACTTTTTTTTGAAATTCTGTCAATTGAGACGCTTTTATCAGCGGTGCCCTGAACAAGAAACTACACAAATAAACCCCGCAACACAGAAATACAGATGCGAATTTAATCGTGACGATTGCAAATACAACGTTTCGGATGCCGTATCACATATGAACATGCTTTTTGGTGCTTTCTCTCTCTCAGAAAGTGGCCAAAATCTGGGAGTGGTTATTCCTCAAGTCATGATGTTTGATTAAAGGGCAGTGGTCCTTCGTGTCAGATTCGTGTTAATAAACGCGTTGAATTTCCGACAACCTACCGCATCTACTATGAAATCAATACGTCGGAAA